CTAGCGGTGACCTTCTCTTTAGGTTCGCTGGCGTAAGCTGTCGAGGCAGCTGTGGCCTGTTTGGCCGTAGACGTAGATGACTGAGGTGAACTGTTTGCAATCGCTACCGGCTTCGCTGGGCTCACTTTCGGCTTAGCTTTGGCACTCTCAGCCCGTTGCTTCCAAATGTTAACTACAGGAATGGGTGCTTCCTGCAGAGGCTTCGCAGGAGCCCGCTCCGCATTCTTGCGCTTCCCCTTTTCAGGAGACTTCCCTGAAGCCCCCCCAAAAGCCTTCTCGGAGGCATTCTCGGATATTTTGTCGACGGAGTCTACAGACTTTTCGACCGACGTGGAAGCTTGAGATTTGTTCTCCCAAGTCGAATCCGACGACGTGTTGGGTATCGAAGACACATCGTCATCTTTCGTGACTGTCGAGGATGACGAAGCGCCCAGGTCGGGGGACGACACTAGCGAAGCCGCTGAAGTCAGCGAGGCCGTGCCCGCCTTCGGTGCAGCGGCCTGCTGCTGTGTGCGCGGCTCGTATGAGCTCGAGGTTTTCTCAGAACGTGTGTCGTTCGATTCGGCATCGTCTGCCCAGCTCATGACGGCAGCAGCTGCAGAAGTGGTCGATGGCAAAGTTTCCTTTGCAGGAGTGGTGGAGCCGGACGACGGCTTGCTGGGCGCGGCGGAAGAAGTTGGACCCGAGGACAGACCCTTTGCTGCCTGGGCGTAGGAAAATGTTGCTGCCATGGTTGCTCGAGACCCTGCGTTTCAGCAGAGAATTGAGCCCTGGAGAGGTTGGATTGCGCTCTTTGTCCCAGATGGGAGCACTCTGGTGAGCTGGCCAAGCGGGAGCCGGCGCTGTGCTGTCCGGAGAGGTTCACTGCTCGACCTCTCCGCACTTGTGTCTTTGACGTTCACCAAGGCCGTGCGCGAGGTGGTTCGACTAGCAGGGACAGCTGAAGGCTGGAGGTGCGGTCAAGGTGAGGCGTGAGAAGAAGCGAGCGGGACTGGTCGTGGAGATGGAGTTAGTCGCGCGGCGTTGGAACCTGGACAGTTTGCGGGTGCAGCGAGGTGTCTAGAAATGTCAGCCAGCGCGTCGAGGCGAAAAGCAAGCACTGGAAGCTAGCGCGATGCTGAGCTGGGGAGCGCGGGCATGGATGGTGAAGGTTTGCGGCCGAGGCACCCGCGCAGACGCAGTTGCCCAAGTGCATAGAAAGCTCACGTGCGGCGGCGCTGGGCCGGGGGAATGGAAGGCACGACCGCTGCGAGTTCGTGGACGCACCG